GAGATGAAACAACTGGGTAAATAAATTTAACATCATTGTTGTCCTTCTCTACTCTATAGGAGCCAAGGGAGCCAGGCAGGTAGCCCAGTGGTTAAGAGTACTTGCTGCTCTTGCAGAGGACCCCTATTTAGTCATCAGCATCCATATGATGGCTCGCACTCATCTGAAACTCCAGTTTCAGATCTGGCACCCTCCTCTGACCTTCTCCATCACTAGACATCTTTGTGGTGAACAAAGGCAAAGCACTTGTGCACATAAACTCTAAAACCAACTTTATAGTAGGCCATAGGACCTGCATGTCTCAGAAAGAACACCTACTCTTTCCACACCATGATAACAATGACATATCTGTTCACCAAGTTACACCAGGATCTTCATGGCATGGTCCATCAAAGAAAGAACCTATTTTCAATGCTAAATATACTATATCTTGTCCAAAAAAATTAAGCTGGAGATTTATGTAACTCTTGGTTAAACATACATTTTCTTTCTCCTTTCTGTGTGAAATGAACTTTTATTTTAAAGGAGATGAATTTTTTACTACACCATCCTCTAAGAACCTTATACTATACAAGAGCCTGCATATCAGAATTTCTAAGAGTAAATTACACAATTGCTCTATGTAATAAATAATGCTTGATCTTCACAGATTAAGGAAATACATTTCACTAAATTTAACAAAACACCCCCCCCCCGCAAAATCACATATTCAGTATGTAAGGTTTACCAGATAAATTTCAAATGCAACATGTTTTACAAGAATATGCCAGCTTTTAATGTCTAGAAAATGACTTTATTTTCAGGATTCACAAAATTATGTTCTTCATTCGAGGCCAGCCTGGTCTACAGAGTCAGTTCCAGGACAGCCAGGGCTATACAGAAAACAAGAAAAAAAACAAACAAACCAAAAACATACCAAGGGAAAAAATTGTGTTCTTCAAAAGAAATGTTCACATGTTCTTCCATAGCTTCAGGCTTTCTACACTTGGACAGTCCCATGCCACTCCAGACAAAGCTGACATGGCTGTGCTTGTTTCATTATCATTGCCCTCCTAAAACAAAGTTTAAAATAAAACTATGGAATACTTCACGAACTTCCATGTTATCCTCACCAGGAGCCATGCTAATCTTCTCTGAATTGTTCCAATTTTAGTACATGTGTTGCCCAAGCACATACAATAATGTCTCTTAGCCTGGACAATGTGTGTGTGTGTGTGTGTGTGTGTGTGTGTGTGTGTGTGTGCCTGTGTATGTGACATATATATATATATATATAAAACTTTACTTCATAGTATACTTTGTAGTATACATAGTATACTTCATGCATATATAGTATGCTACATACATATACAATGTGAGAAAACTAGTTGAATTCAGTAATAAGCACATACAAACAGAATAGTCTTAACAAGTGAGTAAGTTCTAGAGAGGAATCCAAAATTCAGCATCCCTGTCAGTGAAGGAAGCTGACCACAATGCAGCATCTTCCAATACTATGCAGTGTTCTGAACAGAAAATCCCTATAAAGACAATTCATGGGCTAGCAGTTAGCCAGGTCTATAGTTAGGATGGGAAGGATGGAGAAAAGGAAGTGACTTAATAAATTAAAGCTTTGTTTTTCAAAGGATAAAAATGTCTCCATTTTTCCTTCTTTACAGTGTTAGGCTTTGAACAGAGAGACTTCTGTGAACACTGCACCATTGAGTCACACCCCCAAGCTTCAGATGATGAAAATATCCTAAATTTAAGACTGTGGTAACGTTTGTATGACAGTGACTACAATAACAATGATTGGCGAGCACATTTGGGATGGGTCCTCTGATGCTCAACTGCCAAACACATGCATGAGTGTGTGTTTGTTACTTTTCTTGCTGTGGTCAAATACCTGACAAGAAACAACTTATGAGAGGAAGGGTTTATTCAACTTACAGTCTGACTGGACACAATCCATTATGCCAAGAAGCTGTGGTAGACTGATTGTAAGATGGCTGGTCACACTCCCTCAGCCGTCAGGGAACCAAAGGGAACAGAATGTAGAGCAAGATGAGATCTCAGACCACTCCCAACACCCTCGTGACCATCGTGGAGCACAACCCCACCAACTAAGAGTTCCAGTACATTCTCCAAAGAGCATCATACGTGAACCTGGGGGAGACATCTCACTAAGATCATAACAGTGAGTCAGTATGACCCAAATGAGGACAGCAGATACTATATCAACCTCTTTTGTTTCCTCTCCTCTTTCTTTGGTCGTGATATTTTACTGCTCTCTATTTGAACATGCTATCTAGCCAAGGATGACCTTGAACCCCTGATCCTTCTTTCTTAGTGTTGAGTTTAAAGCCATGTACTGTCAGACCTAGTTTTATGTGGTGCTGCTGATAGAACATGGAACTTCGTGCATGATAGCCAAGCACTCTACCAACTGAGCCACATCCTCAGCCTACTAATGGCCCTGGATCATATGCAAAACCTGATTAAAACAGACAGGTCCTCCTTGACGAGTATCCTCCTGGATTCTGACCTTAAACCTCTGTCTCCTCCTAGAAAAATTAAATAAGGTATCAAGTTGACTAGGAACCAGGCTCTTAGAAAAAACTTTGCTGCGTCTTGTACAAATCACTTGTGCCAATATATGATGTTGTGATGTGTAGCTAATGAAGATGCACACTAGACAATTCACAAACCTTTCCTGAACATTACCAGATGTTGACGCCTTACGGTTTTCCAGTAGAGCTGGAACACGCAGCTCTACATCAGAATGGATGCTATAGAACAGAATGAGAAGCATTTCCAGCAGTACTGTGTGCTTCTGAGCATCAGGGACACCTGTCCATGCAGACCTGAAAGCATGACTTTCAAAGGTGAACCTGTGCTGAGTAACCACGTTTGGAGTGGCTGAGGAAAAGGAGGTGTCCTAAGGGCTTATCTGATCTCGTGAGTGTACAGATGCCAGACACGTGGTTTCTGTGAATTGCTCAGCCTTTCCCTAATGTCTCCACCCCACATGCAGATCTCTGCCTTCCTCTGTAGAATCTCTTCAGGATGTGGAGCTTAAGGCACTGGTGAGTCACACACTCTCCTGCAGTCTGACTCCCTGTTGCCTTCCATTTTGACTTGACGAAATTGCACAAAGGCACTGATCTCTCTCAACACTGACAAATGGCAAGGTTTTTACAGGCTAAAAGCAATGTTCTTAAGTGAGAAATATAAAAATCACTTTGCCCATTATTTTGTTTGTCTCAAACAGTTAATAATTAAGGGACAGGCCCCAACATTCCAGCTAATTGCCTAAAAAGGTTCTGTTCTTTTCCTTTGAGTTTGCAGGGTTTGCAAACTGCCACCACTAAGAAAAAAAATCTTTTAAGTACTTAGGTGAAAATTGTCAAGGACTTTAGGTAGATGGCTCATTCAAACTGGAATTTGAATTTTTCTAAAGCAGTTTTAGTTTCATAAAATTTACATTTAAAAATAATTCCAAATAACTCTCTTAAATTAGATGAAGTAGAACTAAGAATCAATGCACAGACCTGTTCAAGTTCCTGGAGCTGGATATTGATACAACTATAGTTAGAGGATTCCAGGTCCTCCTACAACATAGCCACATCTTTTCCAGGATTCAGGCAGTCAGAAGAGAGAAGGGTGGGGACTTGGCAGACGGAGAAGATCAGATAACATCTCTAGTCAGAATACCATGAGAAAGACTAACCTTCTCCCCACACAGAAAACACGGGCTTCCTGGCAGCTGAAAAAAAAAAGCTGGGAAACAGAGCTTCTCTACCTACAGCTGCAACATGAGGGTTGGACACCAAAACCCAGAGCCTGCTGTGTCAGGACAGACAAGGCCCAAATGACTCATGACAGTCCTAAGTAGTTGCAATTACATTTCTTAGAATTGCTCTCTCATATCAAAATAATAGTAGAAATTATATGCAGTTATATTTTATATTCAAATGTATATTTATCCCTGCAGGGTCATGTAATATAGAAGAAATAAAGAATTCCAAGGAAGCGATATCTGCTCCTCTGCATCAGTGCTGCGTCCGGACCATCCTTAGCTCTGCTTGGAAAATTCAAGTTTCTGTCAGCTGAAGTTATCTCAACCAATTTTGCTATGAGCTATTTCTGACATTGCTAATATGTGTTTCTACAGAACACTTTCACAGGCCAGAGGGCAGCTGAGGGAGTCCCACAGCTTCTAGGAAGACAGTAGTTCTTAGTCTGAATAAGGAAAATTGAGATTGCTCATTAGCTCATTAGGTGTAGGGACTACCACTTAATGGAAGAATTTCTCAGAAGCAGAAGAGAACTTTTTATGGAGAGTCAAACAAGGCAAGTGATGCTGGAGCAGCTGGCTGCAGTTTTCAGTGAGAAGCATACAGCCCAGCCTCTCCAGTCTCTATTGGATAGGTTACTGAACTTGCCTACAAAATAGGATGAGCCATAGAAACTCTATAGGTGGTTGTGTGCATTCAATGGTATAAGTACACAATTGTCCCTAGCCTGTCACATGCATGGACTGCATCTTCCCATAACCAATAGCTTCCTTCTTCTCCTTCTTGTTCCCTCTAGTCCACCCCGCTTTCATAAAAAAGTGTGTGTATACGTGTGCACATGCTCACGTGTGCCACAACACACATGCGGAGGTCAGAAGACAACTCTGTGAAGTCTGTTCTCTCCATCCACCTTCATGTGGGTTCCAGGGATTGAACTCAGGTCACCCGGCTTAAGCAGCAAGCACCTTTATCCACTGAGTCATCTCATAACCTCAAGTCCTTTCTTTTTCTTAAGGAAATCAACTCAAAGTTCTGGTTGTACAGTTGAAGAGGGAAGATATACCACAAACAGACCACTGGGGCCATCTGAATTATAAGAAGGGTAGGCCTGAACTGCAGTTGGGAACTTTGCTTCCCAGGGAGGTGAGGAAGTCAACTCCCCAGTGGTCAGGTCTTGATTTAGTCTGTGGTCCAACAGTGTCAATATCACCTGGACCATCTAGTATGGCTTTCTTGAGGTAGGACCCGTAGATCTGGGGTTCCAGCATTTTCCAGGTAATTCTTTTGCTCAGTCAAGTTTGAGAAGTGCCACATAAGAGAAGATAACACCAAATCTGACAGGACAGCAAGGCACTGGCCCAGACAGCAATGTATTGCTCAAGGGCTCAAGTCAAAGAGATTTTAGGGAGAGGTGAAACAGTGAAAGCCTCTGGGGAGAACATTCAGGAACCACGAGGGCATAAGTGTCACAACATTTCCATTCAGTCAGTCGACATGAACCCACATGCTGTTCATTCATCTTCCAACAAGAAATGAGCCAGGGAGCTCATAAGAAATGAGCTGGGCAGGCTGGTTCTCAAATAGGAAGGGATCTGCTGTAAAAGCCTTAGGCTTTTGTGATAGCAAGAGAAAAAAGAGATGGGAAGACAGCATATTACCAATCCTGGGAAGAAAGGAACGCAGGAACAGAAGCGAGCAGTCCAAGTCCCAGGGGGTTAGGAAAGAGAAGGAAAATCCAAGAGCTAGACGTGGGGTTGAGACATGCTCCATCAAGCTTGCACTGGCAGAAGGCCCAGCAGGGAGCCTCCCTCTCAGAAGCTAACATCTGCCTTTCTTCACGTCTCTGCAACACTCTGGATGACCTGCTAGAGAGTGGTTTCAGCATCACAAGGATCAGGACACAGGATGCTTACAAAATTCAGTGACATGTGTAAACACTGACCTAGCTACTTCCTTGAGGTTAGCAGGCCAGTTTCATTTTACTGGCCAACTCTGTCACTTTAGCGAACCACTACAATTTATTAAGAGTATGTGAACTATAGATGCACAACTATTTATGTTGTTAAGAATATTATACACATATAATATATTTAAGTATACATATATATACTTAAAACAAGTCGAAAATGTATTATACTATACTATGTGTGTGTAATAGAAATTATGCATGTAAAACTGGAAAGTTTTTCAGTTAAAATCTTTTTCTGTGTACTTATAAAAATTTTTGTATCAATAGAAGAAATTTATACTAATGAAACATTGATTATGTATCAAAATAAATTTTGTACCAAAGTAAGAAATTATGATTTCAACTAGTAACAATTATAAAGACTTCTACCAAATGAAATTATGGCTATACAATCAATTCTAGCTATTTCCTCCCTGTTCCAATTATGA